CCAAGCTTCCTTCTTCAGCGGCAGACCAAGGGGCTCAAATTCCTGTGCCACCTCGGTTCTCTATGGCAGCAGGGAAGACACAGAAGTACACATGATACATGGAGGCGCCCTCCTCAAAAAAGGAAAGAAATCTGAAAAGCAAATCTGTATCATGTACTATTATAAAGTGGAATAGCCACTCAAGAAGGACAGATCAGTTTTAAGCAGTTGCCACCTCGTTATCTCATTAGTGTGACTAGAATTTTATACAAACCTGTTCGGGAGTAGAGATGACCTTGGAACTTGCAGATTCCCTGAGTTTAACTTGGGCAGCCCTTCTGAACACCAGGGTGGGGTGCTCCAGCAGGTCTGCCCGAAGCCCCAGGAGCCTGGTGTGGAATGATAAGCAGCCAGCCGGAGAAGGGCGCAAGGGGCTAAAGGTTGATTTGCAGAGAGTGACGTTTCAGTATTCAATTTTTTGGCCATGGTATATTCAACCAGAACTTTTTACTTTTGTTCAACGAGTTCACACAGCCCCACTATAAACATGTATGTGTAAAATGCCCTTAAGAGCCAGAACCCATTCCCCTTCACTATTCTATGTGAAACTGCTCAGAAACAAACAAACAAACAAAAACCAATGAAGGTTTTTAAAGGAAACAAAGCTTAGACTTAAACAGTAACTGCAAAGCTACCAGTTTTTGCATAGAGGCAAAAAGATAGTAATACAGACATGAATTCATTTTAAGAACTTAGGTTTGCTGCTACCTGGAGTTACTAGAGAAACAAAGCTGCCTTTGGGCACCTAAAACTAGTCAGACCTGCTGTAGCAGTTGCACAGTCAGCTCCAGATCTGTCCTCCACTCTCCTCCCTCCAGCCCCCACCCCACGCATCTGCATAGCTCACTCCACTCGGGGTGGCGCCGAGCAGGGCACACTCACCCCTCGTTCTGCTGCCCCTGCTCAGAGGCAGGGCCGGCTCCAGACACACAACAGCGTGCAAGTGTGAGAGGAGGCCAGAAAAGAGGCAGCAGATGCCAACTCCATTCGGAACCGAAAGCAGAATACAGCTTATGGGATCCCAAACTTCTACAATAGATAAATTGTGGCGTTTGCTTCAGTGACACCTAGCAGACATTTCCAATTAAGTTCAGATGAGGGACAGAAGATCTTGAGAGGAGACGAGCAAGGCTTTCCAGCTTTGAGGGCCCTCAGACCATGAAGAGAGCAGACGTTCCAAAAGGGAGTTTGCATTGCCTGTGTAGGGTGCTTGTTTTAAAAATAAGCATCTGTTTTGTCCTATGAGAAATCATATGTTTCCAAAGATACTGTTTTTATTTTTCAATTTTTATTTAAAAAAAAAATTTTAGACAGCCAAGCATGTTTTGTTTTGTTTGTCTCATGATCTTCAAGGAAAACAAACAAACAAACAAAACAAGGCATCTATTTATTACCCAGAACAGGAATATTGTCTTATTGGTCTGACATATGCCATTCACAGATTCATACAAAGAATGAACTGCCACACAGTGCCCATGGAGAAAGACCCTGCTCCACACAATGAGTGATGGGCGCTCCAGGGGACAGTTCTGTTCGCAGGGTTTCCCAGTATCTGCACAGAGGGCAGAAGGTTGCCTTTAATACCAACTGCACTGGCCACTGGAGACAACACTTCCTTTGAAAAAGACACGCCAACTTTGGTTAGCAGACGTTTCCTTCAAGAATATTAAAACTAGATTAAATATGCACACACTTAAGCAGAAGTACTAAAAACATGTGGGTCTCTGCCAATTGTTTAAGGAATGTTTATTAACAGAGGGTAGAAAATACATGATTTGTATATATGCAGTGGCCACTGCATTTTTAGATTTTCATGTTTTGTTAGTCAGTAGTAATTCATGGAAAGACTTAAGAGGGTGGCTGTTCCCCTTATTGTGAGGCCTTTTTACGTAAAACTGGAGCTTGCCCTAAGATGCCTTCTGTATACACCTGATCTTTGGACTCAGTAATCAGGGAGAAAGTCAGCCTCTCGGTCTCTTTCTCTCCTTTGCCAAAGAACTAACGCAACTCTGGCTATTTCCTATAGGACATGACATAATAATAAATGTGAAATTTGTGTAGCAGCAAAGTCTTAAAAAAATTCTATGAGTGAATTAAAGTTCACACTCTTAAATACCATTATCTATACATATTTTTAATATATATGTAATACTGATAAAGTTGTCTTGATTTTTCTGATATAAATGAAATATAAGATAAAACTTCAAGCTTTCACTAGTGTTCTTGAACAAGAAACAATGACGACAACAAAAACCTTCAAAAGCTTCTATTGTAGCTTTTACCTTCTTAAGTATTTGAGTGCTTTGGCTGAGGGTAACTTTTAGTATAATTTGATGCTAATAATTTGTAATCTGTCACTTTTTTTATTGACAGAGAAAACTGTAAGTATTTGTGTGTGTGTGTGTGTGTGTGTATATGTATATAAAGATATATATATCTTTAACCTCCCTTATACTTTTTTGATCTGTTTTGTGTGTAAATGTTTCTAAAGTAATGTAACTTTTATTCTGCCATTGAATCACTGTTTAAAATATTGGATGCCCTGGCTGGGTGGCTCAGTTGGTTGGAGCATGGTCCCGCACACCAAAAAGGCTCTACCCCCAGTCAGGGCACTTACCTGGGTTGCGGGTTTGACCCCCATACTGGTTGTGAGAGGCAACTGATCAATGTTTCTCTCTCTTTCTCTCTCTCTCTCTCTCTCTCTCTTCCTTCCTCTCTAAAATCAATAAATATATCCTCAGATGAGGATTAATAAATAAATAAAACAGTGGATGCCAAAAGCTATCAGTTGCTACACAAATTTGAGTGAGTTTTAAAATATCATTATACTATTTTACTATGCTCATTATTAATAATCAGCACATGGTGACTGGACAAAATTTATATTTTAGCTTCTGCATTAAATTTAAAAAGCTTCCAATGGAGACAATTCAGCAAACAGGAATCTAAAGATTTCTAAATCTGAGTTAACATCCTTCTCTTAGTTCTTAAAGGAAAACAAACTTGAGCAGCTGTTACCTAAGAAGCTGTGACACTTGCCTGACAATAAAGCTGTTCCCTAGGACACCTCTTGTCTACACTTGATTGGTATTAAAATCTGAGTCCTCTCTCCTACCTGTTGTAGTAAAGCAAGAACAGAACTGAGTGTAAAACAAACAAAGAAGCTGTCAAGTCCATTTCTTATGATTTTTCATCTAAGAGCAACATGGTTACACACATTTTAATTAGGAGTAGGGAAAAGAAGAAAAAATATTTTTAAAGGGTGCCAAACTTGATGAACAATGTAAACAAACTTTACATTAACATATACCTCTTAAGTAAATCAATGAGGCAAAAGGAAAACTTGCTAACATTTCTCTCTCTTTTTTTTTTCCCAACGAAGACATTGATAAAATGAACAGGAAAGCTGAGATCCATGAACAAGCTATTCTTGCTCATGCCAGAAGCTGGGATCTTAGGATGGGTATTTTCATCCTCACAGCACACCCTAGCACACTCAAATCAGAACAGACTGCTATAAAAAGGGGGAGGAATGGGCGGAGCTCTTGGGGTGAGACATGCCTTCTGGTTAGCTGAGCAACCCCCCGCCCCCCATCAGCAAAACAACCCAGAGGCTCTCAGGTGGACTGTCCTCCAGGGGTTGAGTGGAGCCAAGAGCCCACTTCACTCCTGTCAGAGACTAGTCCCTAATTATAAAAGGCTACTTTGAACACTTAAGGCCTCCGGGATCCTATTGGCTACTACAATTTCTAGGCTCTTTACACACATTATAGACGTTTCTTAACATATATTGGGAAATCAAAAAGCATATTTCATGAACAAAGCTTGAGAACATTTACGTACTATCTCCCTTAGGACCATCTGAGGCTGCTCAATCCAATTCAAATAAAAACTGCTGTAGTCTGAGTCTAGATGTCGTACCCTGCTGACTGCCCTTCCCCATTCGGTGCCTGTAGAAACTTACTTTCCACCTCCTGAAACATCCGGAAACTACCCAGTGTTAACGCAAAAAGTTATTCTAAGACCAACTAGACCTAATCTTCTCTGCAATTTAAGAGTAAACCCCAAACTCTACTCCCGTCTCAATCTATTACTATTACTTCTGCTAAAGGTGTAAGTAATGACCAAGGAAAAACGTAAGAACCATTTATGATTTTTCTCTCCATGCAATGGCCCTCTTACACCAAGCACCCTCTTAATGGTACAAAGTCCAGGGCTTGGGACAGCTGGTTTTCCTCCACCCCCTCCCTTTCAGTCATAGGCGGTTACCACCAAGATGACTTGTAGATTTCTAACTAAAAAACCAATGAGACCTTAAGTTTAATATATATGTACATTCAAAAATCAATTCACTTGAGCACGGGAAAAAGAGGGTGGAGAGGGTTTTTTTTTGTTTGTTTGTTTTTTTGTTTTTTTTAAAGCTAAAAACACAGAAACACACCATAGCAAGTTGGATGCAAACCCGGGCACGGAACTCAAAAGTGAAGCAGCCTTCGCGGCAGCAATCCGAGCCTTAAAAAAAGAGAAAAGTCTCGCACGTTCACAACAACACAACCGCCACAACACGCACACACATCCCAGCTGTAAAACCGACAGCTCCAAGCTCCCTCTGTCTCACTGCGGGCTCCGGTTAGCTCCCGACCCCATCCTGACCCCCGTCCGTGACTGCCCGTCCCTGCCCTTCCCCCAGCAGATCTGCCCTCGTACGCTGGGGGTCCCCGGCCCTCACTCCGGGCGTCCAAGGGCGCCGGGCCGGAAGGCAGCTTGAGGGAGCTCTCCTCCGGGTACCTGCTTCAGCCCAGGTCCCTCTCGCGGAGGCTCCTGCGACCCTCGCGGCCGCCAGGGGCCCTCCTCCGCCCTCCAGGCTTTCCGACCCTTGGCCCGGTCCCAACGCCGCCCCCACCCATCGGTAGCCCAGCGCATCGGAAGATCCCTTCCAGCCCGGCGCCGGGAGAACTTACCACATGCAGTTCCACCTGGGAACTAACGCATCAGGAGGGGTTTCTGCCCACTCCTCAAGCTACTCCTGCTCCATGCGGAGTACCCAGCTCCGGGGGCCCGAGGGTAGCTCCGGGGAGCGGGCAGGAGGCGAGAATGAAGCTAAGACTCTGCCGTCCTCTGCTTGCGCGCTCGGAACATTATACAATGGTGGAGGAGGAGGCGGCGGCGGCGGCAGGCAGCGGAGGAGGAAGCGGGAGGCGGGCGGAGGGGGCGCCCTGACCCAGCGAGCGGCAGCTCGTGCTCCAGCACTAGCTGTGCAGGAGTGACGTGCGGCCAGCGAGCCTCCCGCGAGCTCCGGGCCCGGGGCTCAACTGTCCCCGCCCCTCCACCGCCCGGCCCCGCCCCTCAGCTCGGCCCCGCCTCCTCCCCCGGCGGTCCCGGGAGGCGCGATAAATGCCGAGCGGGCCCCCGGCCGCCAGAGGAGCAGGAAGAAGCAGGCGGAGCACGGGAGACGCCGGGTGGCAGCGCGGCCCACGGCTCCCTCTCCGGCCAGTTCCCTCTTTATTTTCTCTTAAGGCTTAAAGAGAAGGGGAGCGGAGAAGAGACACTTCTGTCAGGGGATCACTACTAGCCACCAATAATCCCCTCACACTCTAGAAAATACTCAATGCAAATGACGGAACGGTTGTGACAAAGGCGGCAGCGAGTGAAGCGCGCGCACAGCCTGCCGAGTGGTGCGACCGCAAATATGACAAGCATCTGAGCTATTCGGCAACTTGGGGCCGGTCAGCAGGGCGGGCAGGGTCCCGCGGGGTGGTGGTGGGGGGCAAAAATCCGACCCCGAGATGCGACGTCCACGCTGCCTAAGGGGCTTTCAAGAAGGGAGTCGCGAGAGGGCGCGGGCGGTAGCGTCCGCAGCTGGGACACTCCCCGACGCCGGGGTCTGAGGACTCACAAGAGACCCGCAAAGGTATCCCAACGGCAGGATGGGGGCTCCAGCTGGAGCCGGGGATAGAAAATTGTTCTTGCGCGTAGTGGCCTCGGCCCAACGTTCTAAATGATTCACCAAGTCAACAGTACTTTCCGAGCAGGACGGAGGGAACCGAGCTACATCCTTCGTGCCAGGCTGCGCCGTGGTGCGGAACAGGCAGCCGGCCGGCCACCCGCCCACTACCTTGAAAAAGTTCAGGCCGGTTGGGAAGCCAGGCTTAGAGATGCCCCTAGCGGGGGCCGAAGGCTCCGTCTTCTGCCCAGAACTTTAATGTTGAGAGCCTCTTTCCTCTCCTTGAGAAAGCTTCTGCTTTGAACTACTTACATTTAGCAGGAAAACTTACACTAGTCGGGAGAGGCTGTGTGTGTATGCCTAAATGATGCAAATTTAAAGGCACTGGAAAAATAAACAGGTCCCCTGGAAAATAAAAATTACTTTATTTTAAAAATTGCATGAGCATTCAGTGTAAAAATGTTACAAAAAGTAATTCAGGCACCTTAAAATTTTGGCTGCCACCCGAATCAATATCATCTCAAATCACTTCCCCATTTAATGGTCCACTATGCCAGTTATATTTAAGTATAATAAAGCTTTAAGACCTAACATAAAGGTGATTATACGTCATTAATATCAAGACAAGTTTAGACCTATTCGAACTGTTCTGTAATGATTTGTTATCAATCAAATTGATGATCTTATTGAAATTAATTAAACCTGGGCTAAAATATTTGTAGAGGAGACAATGTTTCTTGTTTTATCTTTAGGGGGAATGAAAATTGTTTTTACTGGACTCACAGTATAATTAAAACCTTATACAGATTTTCTTTAAGTATAACCAATGCCAAAAGCTAATTATTAGTGGATGTCTTTGGAAAGTCTTGTTGAAATGGTGTTCCAAATTATACATCATGGAAGTAATGCTCAGGGCCCTCTGCAGGTCCTGCTCAGTTTGTGCCTGGGTGGCATAACATTCAAACAGTTTGCTGGGAAGCCAAGATATTTTTCATCTCCAGAGTCTGCCTTGTAGAGAGGACACTAACTACTAACAGTTTCCTAACCATTCACTCACTTATACTTGCAGTGCTCACTTTAAGGAAAAGTCATTGAAACAGAATCTTCAATAATCTCTTCCTGTGATATCTTTGTAGCCGAGGCCAGAGGCTCTGTTCAATTTAAAATGTATTTAAACTGTTATTCATGAATTGAAGTTAGCAGCAAGTTAGAGTTGCAGAATTTTTGTAGCACTTGGATATTTTCTAGCAAATTGATTCCCAAATGCAGTATTTCTGTACATATGAACTAAGATCAAAGTGACAATTTTTGTGTCTCCAGAGTGGACATGTGATTCTGATAAAGTGTGTTCTGTACGTGCTTAGTAAAGGTTTGAGTTCTTAGGAAGCAACCTGAGTTTTGAGGTGAAATAGTTTTCACCTTTCCACATGTTCAAAGGTTGTAATATCCCATCAGTGCACATGTTATAAACGAGTCCCACTCCCCCGCTGCCTCCCCCGCTTTGAGATTCTGGCATCTTTCACCAAGAAGTCAAAGTACTAAATAGCAGCTTCAATAGATGCTGATGTGATCCAACACCAGGTGGTTACCCAACCCCCTCCCCCAGGCGGAGTCCCTGCAGGCTGGCCCTGGGAATCCAAGTCCATGCGGATAAGGAAAGGCCCTCCCAGAACTTTTGAAGTCAACTCCCTTCAGTATGCAATGGCATGATTTTTAAAAGTTGTTTATTTCTAGTAAATGAGCAAGAAATGTTTAGTGAACACGTAAATGTCATTTTCACTCTTTGGGACATTTAAAAGCCCATTTAAAATAATCCTGCCCTCAGGATTTAGAGTTTTGAGTTTCTCTCTCTCACTTGCACCGATAAGAAATTAGGCTAGTCGTCCACATTTAAGCACTAGGAACCTACCTGTTTAGGGAGAAAAGAAACATTGCTTTTCTAAGTATAGAATTGTGATGGTAATTTTTAAAAACACTCATGAGTTTAATTTCAGAGAGGCACTTCTCAACAGTGCTTTGTAGTTCTGGGTACTAGTTTGCACTTCACTGCTTCTATTGAAAGTTTCTGTGCCTTCACATTTTGCAAACTACTAGACTACTGCACTAACCGAAGGCCACTTTTAGCACTTAATTAGCATGCATGAAAGAAATGACACAAGGACAAGCTGGTTATATAAACTGAGAAAGAAAGACTTTAAAATAGTTTTCAAACTTTAATTTTTCTTTTACCTTTATTATATTTTATCTTTCCAGTTCCACATGAAACACTGGTAATAATCACCTATCTGCATACCTTGGAAATATTGGTCTTACAGCAAAAAAAAAAAAAGTAAACCTTTAAGTTATTAAACACATTGTATATAGCCAGCCATGCTATGAAACCTTTTCATGGAAAGTACAGAGATTCTAACTGAAGGTGGACTTCTCTTTCACTGATAACTGAAAACTGTTAATAAACCTTCAAAATAAAGTTCTAGAAGTCACACCACCTGACTGACTATCAAGGAGTTGATTCACGCTACGATGATTTGGAAAACGAAATACTTTCACAAAGACAGCATGAACAGGTTCAACGCTTTTCATCAACTAGCAATTAAGACTTCACTGTACCAAAGGAGCAAGTTAACTCATCTACTTCTGCAAACTCTTCTTCCACTTGCTTTTGTCAGGTTTTTTCCCTGCTTGTTCCTGAAGTCATGCTTCACACAGTACTTCAACTTCAGTTAAGGGTTACTTTTGCAAAGTTACCCTTATTTGTTACTGAACTGCTTTGCAATGACACCCCTTATGTTTCAAGAATGAGTGTTGTTCTTCTGTTAGAGATATGCCTTTTTCTCTTTTAAAACCTGATAATATTTAAATTTTAATCTGGAACCAAATCTTAATGATGATATTTGAAAAAAAAATACTTTCAAAACCATTTTTTTTCTAGTATTTTTTATTAGTTCCTTTCTCACCTTTACTAGAGAAGGTGGCTTCTATTGGGCATAAACTTCCTTCCTATTCCATTTGCCACTATTTTCTCTTAAAGTCCTCAGATAAATTGTGAGGCCCAGTTTGCAGCAGCCCTCCTTAAAAGGCCTGAGATTTTGCTTTCACCCTCTCCTCACCTGAAACGTGAGGTGACAACTCCTGTGTTCCTCCCTGCCAGGTGCTACTCCACCAAGACTGGTGGTCACTTCTCAGAAACATCTCTTCTTGTACTCAGTTCCCCACACAGCACTCCCTTCCTGGTGGCCTCTGCATGTTGACTCTTTATTTCCTGTCTATAAAACATCCTTCCTTCTGGAGGAGTTCATACTCTTCTCAAGATACTCAGCACTCCTGGCTTCCACAGAAGACTTCAATGGATGTTAGAAATCACTCAGCCTCCAGACCTTCCTTGTCCCTGGGAATCAGCTTAACAAGACGAAGAAGTCCAGAGTGGGAGACTGAAGATCCTGTACAAATAAATCACTCAACTATGGTTAATTGTTAATATTTTTCATTTAATCTGCTATGGCACACAGATTTAGAATCACCATGGGTTCCAGTGAAAAGAATGCAAGCTTTTGGTCAGGAGATTTTGGTTACAGTTCCTCAGCTGCAGCCAGCAGTGAGGCTGAATCAGACGGTGGACATCATGGGGGCTGCTTCCACACGCCACAAGAGGAGGAGCCTGCGCTCAAAGATGTCTGTAGGAGTCTATGAAAAGCGACTGTAATGGGGGCTACCATCAAGGAGGAGTTTAAGGCTCAAATGAGATAATCTGCTCATTGAAAGAATATAAAAACTTCACATGCACATATTTCTGAAAGAAGTACAAATAATGATAATATGCTCTCTTCAAAAGGACATGTTCTTTGATTTATTTGTCATATCCAGAAGACAGATTTGAGCAGTCCTACACATATTCTCCTGGCTTTGTTACCTATCATGGTTCAAGCGACCTAGCTGTAAAATCTGTAATAATCCCCCCCGCCCAATATTTGTACAGAAGCAGGATGGTTTACAAGGCATTTTCATGTGAATTCATTTGTCTGCTCTCTCCATAACGTCTTCCCGGTGTCACAGGCAGGACAGGTTCTCTCTCCCACATTTGACAGGTGAGTAAATGGAGACTTAGAGAAGGACCTGCCAATGGAAATCTTTCTTTAACAAGATGACTCTCG